AGAAAACTGTGCCTTATGAGCACCGGTAATGTTGCACACTGTGACGACTCCGGTGTGCATGTGTGGATATTTGTGTTTGTGTGTGTATGTGTGTACGTTTGTCCAGGTATTTCAACTCGGCAGTCACGCAAGCTGCGGCGCCAAAATTTTGCCAGCGAATTCTCCGGCCAAGTGCCACTTCAGGGCCGCGGTACCAATCCTCACGAACGCCTGGGTCCCATGTGCGACTACATGAAATTTGTGGCAGGAAATCCGTCAACTCGGGAATCATAAAAGCTGGAAGGCTGAATTTTCGGGGGATAATTATCGCCTAAATAGAAGACAAAGATTTCAAATTCAGCTTTGGGAGGAAAAATCGCCAGCTGGCGAACCAGAGGAGCCGAAAAGCAGAAATTTTGAAGGGATGTTTCCGTCTACGTAGAACTCAAAGATTTCAAATTCAGCTCCCAGGGTATGTGTAGTTTGGCGAGAAGGATCGCGAACCCGGAAACCAGGAAAGCTGGGATGCTGAAATTTTAACGGGATGTTCTCTGTCCAAATACCGCGTAGTTGCACAATAAACTTCCCGAGCTTCTAGAACCGGTGCGTCACAAATTCTGGCTGCTGGGTTTCTGAGCGACCTCACTAAGCACGAATACTGCAAAAACGCATTATCGCACAGGCCTGCCCGGTGCGTGTAGTCAATGATTTCTCAATTGGTGAGAAAAGGGCGAAAGAGGGTTTTTCGAGGTAATCAGAATGTTTGATGCTATTAATCTGAAATCAGTTCGATTGTCGCAGTATACCCTGAATTGCCAGATTGAATACAATTTTAAACTTATTAAGTTCGGGACGATATAAATCCAAAATTTAAAGTTTTTGGGATTTTTGCTACTTGCGTAAGTGGCGATGGGCATCGTGAAATCAAATCCTACTGCTTATGTTTAAAAACGGCCAAAGGTTTTGACCGCTGTGTGAAGTGAGCTATAAAATTCTAGTGCCTCTCACGCGTGGAACTGATTAAAGTCAAATCATCACGAAATCTACATGTGTCACATTCGCGGGCTAGGCACCCATAACAAAATAACGCCAAAAAAATGCTATTGCGCTTGCCCTTTGGTGATCGCCGCTATTCAAGTACTGGAAATTTTTCTCCTCCGTCTTTGTTGCTGACGCACAACTTTACGTTTTTCATGGCGACCTTTTTCGAATCTTCATTCGAGAAGGCACCGATAGTACCTTGGATACTCATTGTTTAAAAGAAATTTATTTCAGATGATCGGTAAGCTATTTAGGAAATATGTTAAACCACATCTGCGCAAGGTTTATGTAACTTATTTGATACTACTCGTTGTGCATTCAGGGTTACCTGCTTTCTTTATTGATATCCTCTATGACCTCACGAACCACATAGCGGTTATTCTGTGGACTATTTTTATCATCTCACTGACAGGTACGCTGTTTTTCCATTGCGTTATTTCGTTACAAAGGAAGAAATAGACTGGAAAATTTAAAGTTTGATGTGCAATAAACTTTCACTAGCATAAAGCTCCAAGATAGTTAATTTTAGTGCGTTTTTGCATATGCGCAAATGCAACCCAGGCTGGAACACACCAGGCTTGCCGATGCGATCATGCGTTTTTGCACTAAACTGGTAGATCGCTAATAGCAAGAGTGATCCCTGCACTATAGTCTAAGACTTGGGCTCATATTGGCCGTCCTTTGGCCTCTTCCGGCTTGCAGGAGAAAGGGCGTCGGTTGGATGAAGGTGTTGTGTTATAGGGCCGCATGAACCTCCAGATACATGATTGTCAGTTTTTTGCATGAAGCCTGGTCGTTTTTTCGGTAAACGTCCGTTTTTGAAAAATGGAAAATGCTAATTTTTGAAAATGCAAGAATTTCAGTTCTTCACTGACAAGTGAAAATGTTGTTAAAGCGGTCGTTCGCCAAAAAATCAAAATTGGCCAACGCACGGGCTGCCCGTGCGAAGATGCGTTTTTCGCAGAGTTCCCCGCAATTTTTGTCACTATCGGAATCGGTTTTTTCGGCAAATGCTTCAAGCTAAAC